AAATTTATGTTAGAATGTCATGGATTAAGTTACACAAGAAAAATTGTCTGTTTTTCATAAATCGAGTGACAAAAACATCTTTTTTCCATTTGTGCTAAAGTTTCTTGTACAAGTCAAGTATAGATATAACAGGACTACTCCCAAAACATGTTGTAATTGGCTGCATAAAGTAAAACATCCCCACTCGCACTGCAGATGATCTTAATCGTCGATGGGGGTACATGGTTTAGCAACGAATTGAAAATAAAAATCACAAAAGGCCTGTGTTTTTTTCCCCCTTATGCATCTGAGCCCACAATGCCAGGTCATCTTAAGGTTGCCGAGCTTCATATAATTGCTGGCACTGCCGAAGAAAAAAATATTGTGCTTCATCCTCGTGTTGTCAGCTCGAAAACAAAGTTTTGCCCTTTGGGATTACACTGTGGCCAGACTTAAATGACTGCTGATCGGCTCGCAGACTACAGACAGTAGATAAAGGGGTTTCAGCTGATCCCTGATCAGTATTCAAAGCGGCAGCAGGCGGGTTGGGGATAAAGCGGCATCTTGTAGAGATTTTAAAACAATGGTTTTGTACTGTTGTGTTGACTGAAATGCAGTTGACATGAAAAAGGTGAAAAAAATCTGTTTTTCAATCTGCAAGTCAGGAAATTTAATATTGCATTTAAGTACAAAAAATGGGCAGTAAGTTAAGTCTCTGAATACCCAGCAGGAATTATATGCTGACTAATAAGTGGCAGAATTGCAACCATACACATTGGGGGGTTGTGTCATTGTATTGCAATGATTGCAACAATATAACACACACAAAAAAAAAAACATTGTATCCTCTCCTGCAACAAGTTGACCCACAGTTGTTACAAACAACCCTTGAAATCTGTCAGCTTGGCTCTTGGTCAGAGATTCTGTCTGAGGTGATCTCACACATGCTTGATTAAAGAAAGATCAGGAGACCGATCATGGCTACAGGAACCCTCAATATGACGCAGGCTGTCCATGTATGTGTGTTGTGTGTGGATTGGTGTTATTTTGTTGAAAAACCCATGCCAGTGTGTTGTCTAAGGAGGTGTAAGATGAGCAAACTACAAGAGGTGGCCTAAAGTCCCTTTCCATGGTTTTCACACCCCAACGTTGGATGCCAACAATGGCAAGATTGTGTCTCTCTCATTGGTGGAGGATGACAATGGGCTGTTAAGACCTGTGTCTTGATGGCACAAAGAGAATTCATTGGGCTCTCTAATGCCTTGAAGTGCAATACAACTATCCTTCTGTGGTGGGTTCTGTCTTAGGTAACTGGAACTATTACAATGTGGGTGGGTGTCTTCACGCAGTTACTGGTTCCTTGGGCCTCTCATCTGTACACCCTGCATGGTGAACAGTTACAGGATACAACTATCCAACATCATGCAAGTCCATAATTTAACCCCTATCAAAGCTATAGTAATGCTACAATATGTAATGTGTCTATGAGGCATCATTTGTGTCTGTGTCCTTTACCTACTGAGTTGACTTTCAAATGCTTCTGCAAAAGGCTGATAATAATATCACTCCAATTAAGAATATCAGAAGAATACATGTTTTGTCATTTGAACAAGTACAACAAAATTAAGTGGTGCTACTACTTATGCCCTATGGTGCCTGTTGTAGAGATGAGCCAGGTCTTTGAAAGTCAAACCATTCAGATACCCATCACTGGCCCACATGTGGATATAACTATGTTTAAATTCCACTCCAGTATGCTATTTTTTTTGTCAGAAAACATGTAAATAAATAAACAATACATGTTACTACCCCGTATAGTTTTACTCCATCTTGTGGCTGCACAGCAGCACTGAGGAGCTTATTTGAAAGAGGCCACCTGCTTTCATCTACTGCTTTTAATCAAATAATATTCCAATCAAGCTCTATTTATCCAAGACAATTATGTCCGTCGTTTGTTTACAACTGAAATTGGTCATGGAATGAAAAARGTATTATGATCGAAATGCATCTGGAAGCTGTGTCTGTGTTATGCAAATCATATCTGCGTTAGCTCACAGATCAAACTGTTTGCATGCTTAAAAGAGACAGCTTGAGTCCGTGCAGAAATACAGCTCAAAAAATCCTCGCAAAGTGCTTGGGTGTAAGTTTATTTTCAGGTGAGGATCAGTGCATCTGGATGTGTGTGTATGAGCGAGTTAATGCCAGCCCGAATGACAGAGTCTCTAAGCTCCCTCCTACAGCTGTCTCTCCCTCCTGCTCGGATCTCAGTTGATGTCAGTGCAGTGGAGCAGAATGCGGACAGCCGACAGTAGAGTGCCTGCAGTTTCTTGTTTGTTGCCTGTCTGTTTTTTTTCTTCCCTTTGTGACCCCTCTAGCCCTGGTCTAGACGCTAATGACAGCCCACTGAGGTTAATGTCTCCTGTCCTAGCACATACTGTAGCATACAGGAATAAACTGAACCAGGCCATTAGCATCAACCCACTGACCAAATGCTAAGTCTTATATTGGCTGAATTTAATTGAAGTCTCTGAAGCTATTAGTCCCAGGCAAAGCTGATGAGGAGAAAATTTCTTGGCCATCCAGCATTACGGTTATATCTTACACAARACTGTCTGATCTTACAGGAATACTGGGAAGATAGGGCAACACTGCCCCCTTTAAAGCGAGTAWCTCAATGGGCTGCATCTGCTGGCAACTAGTAGGTTGTAGGCACTTGTCATGGAATCTTTAGAATGTCTTAAAAACAATTTCAAGYGTTTTCAATTGCTTGCTTGAATTGCAGATGTGCGCAGGTCTGCTGCTATAGTAAAAAAAAAAGTTTGGTTTGTCTCCAACTTGTCTTGAACATTAAGACAAATGTCCAAGGCATATTCAACCAGTATAAARGTGCTACTGTTGTATTTGACACAACACAGATGATAAATAATCATTAGTAAAAATGTGGATTAAGTCTCTATCTTCATTTCCAGTAGTTAACATTATAAATGTGGGTATAAAGAGAGCTAAGTCAAGTACAATGTGGTAAGAGGCGCGCAACTTGATGCATACAAACTTTATACAGTTTTGCAAGTTGTACACAAAAAAATGCCATTTTTTTTAAATAGCAGCACAAAAAATGGCTCACTGGTCAATTTTTCCCAATCATTCCGAATTCAGAGAGATGGCAACTGAAAAACAAACTATTTTCTCGCAATTTTGTGTCACCTACTAGTCTCCTTGCAGCCCAGTGAAGCACTACCTTAAGCAAATGCAAATGAACTTCAAACAACATTGCTCACTAACTTTCTAAACACTTGACTTCATTTGCTGAAACTCGTCATCGCTTGATATTTCCCCCTTCTGACTCAGAGTAACTCTAAGTGTCAAAGCTTTAGAGGGATTTAACAAGAAGTCACAGCTAAATATAACTTCCCGACACTTGCTAATAAAAAGCAACAAGATTACTGTCTCTGGCAACCATCTTCAATAGCAGCCAACCTCTCTGCCTCAAATGTCATCCTGTTTCATCCCTACACTCTGTCTTTTCACCTCATCCCCGTCGTCCTTCTTTACCAGRGCTGAGTAGTCACATTCACCTTGGAGGTGTGCCAGTCTGTTGGCGTGCTGCAGGAATCTGTGTTTTACACAAGCTTTTAGTTTGATTACATCTGGCCTCTTCCTTCGTCCTTATTTTTTTTCAGGAATGACCATAAAATCTGATGGATTCCCCCTTAAAAGTTAGGCAAAAGGGAAATAAATCAACGTGGATGCAGCTGTCAAAAAACAAGTATGAATTAAAAAAAGAAAGTTTTACAAAAAAAGCAGTGAAAAGTAAAACTACTTCCATCTGTTCCACTTTCCACTTGGAGCACTGAAGCTTTATGTTAAAAGCGATGGTGAGTATTTACACAGTGAGACTTTGCATAATAAACATATGATCAGGAAATATATTTAATGACAATGCAAGTCTTGCATGAAACAAGCAAAAAAAAAAGTATCACAAAAGGCATATCAAAAATATAGTAACAACCACAGAAAATAAATCACCAACACTGCTCTGTTCAAAAAACACAAACTGACAAGCAGCTGTGCACAAAGATACACTTAATACATTTAATAATAAATTACTTTTTTTTTACCTAATATCATGCGAACTGAAAGGGACTACYTGGATTCCCAGGGGCCCTCCTTCATTGGACACTTCAACTGGTTTGAGCATGCCTCTGCAGGACGTTGATGGATGACACCAGGAACAGGAGAATAAACAGAAAAGAAGGGTGGGGGGACATGCACAAATAACATAAATAAATAAAATGAGTGACACGAAAATATAAGAATACAACACGTAAAAAAACAATGTGATCAAATGTGACACAAGGTTGGCAGGATGGACGGGTGTTAGGTGGGAGCTGCATTGTCTTACATACACAAAATCATCCATTACGAAGTCTGGCAAGTGGACCTGAGGGTCAGTTAGAGGCCCAAATGGAGACTCCAATTAAGAGATTAGGATCAGACTGTTAAAAGAGAATGACTTAATTGAAAACATGTTAGCGAATAAAGGAGAAGGAGGAGAAGAAGAAGGTTAATTTGTGTAGATAAGGACCAGAAGACAAATGAACACATGCAACTATCAATGAGATGTTCATGATAGGAGACCTTGCCCTCAGTGGATGGTTAGGTTTGTGTTTTGCTTGAAATTAAAATAACTCCAGTTCTAATGAAGTTGGGACGTTGTGTAAAACATATACAATGATTTACAAATTATTTTAACCTGCATTTAATTGGATACACTACAAAAGACAAGATATTTAATGTTCAAACAGATGAACTGTATTGTCTCTTTTGCAAATATTCACTCATTTTGAATTTTGAACACAGTCCAAAACCACCTGGGACGGGGGCATGTTTACCTCTGTGTTACATCACTTTTCTTTTTAACAACACTCAYTAAGCATTGGGGAACTGAGGACACGAATTGTTGAAGCTTTGTAGGTGGAATTATTTTACTTCTCTTGCTTGATGTACAGCTTCAGTTGCACTACAGTCCAGGCTCTCTGCTGGCGTATTTTGCACTGCATTTTTGGGTGTTGTTGATATATGGCTCTGGCTTTGCATGGTAGAGTTTTAACTTCACCTGTATATTTAGCAATGAACTTTGTTCACTGACAATGGTTTTCTAAAGTGTTCCTGAGTCCATGTGCAAATATCCGTAACAGAATGATGTCAGTTTTTAATGCAGCCCCACCTGAGGCATCAAAGGTCATGGGCATTCAATGTTTCAGGGATACTTCCTTTATAACCAATCATGAAACTCTGTTTCTAATGAACCTGTTCACCTGTGAAATGCTCCAAACATGTTTTTGACCATTCCTCATCTTTCTCTGTCTTTTGTTGCCCCTGTCACAGTTTTTTTTTTTTTAGAATGCATTGCAGGCATCAAACTCATTATTATTATTAATAAATTAAGTCAACTTTATACAATAATATAAATAAATTGAATAAAGTTGAGTCTTTTTAGTGTTGCCATCATAATAGCATGGAAACACCCTTATTACATTTTTTTATTCTTCTGRTTCTGTCAGGATTTTCAAGTTGCTACTCCCAGAGCTTTGGGAAAGCCAATGCAGAAAATGTATATTAAACCACGTGGCTACAAGGGTAAAAGTGTGCTAAGACATCTAGAAGCAAGGCATCATATGATGTAGACAAAATTCACAAAAAGAACCTGGTAAATGTACACAATGGAATATTGGTGAAATGAGTGGGAAAAAATGGTCTTAGTGTAAGCTCGTGCATATGTCACAATAAACATCATTAAAGTTTGAGCAGGTCAAAGTTAAACTTTACATGATTGAACTGGTAATTTGGTATCTTTAATAAGTTTAATATGAACATAGTTTTTGTTTTAGGGATTCACTTTTATTTATTTATTTTTTCAGATTTTACCCCAGAATGTTCAACTTTGATGATGGTAATGATGTCATTAAATCAAACTTTTTATTGTATCCAAACCTTTTGCACACACATCATATAAATTGTATACATTAAAACACAGGCCTTTTTGTTTTTTTGTTTTTTTTTTCATTAAGTGTGTCTTTCACTGTTACAATACTAATGATTTTCTCTTAAAGGAATCCATGATTAGTTGTAACATTAGACTTTATGTAATAAAAATTTAACTGTAAAATAAAGACTGTAAAATATTGATGGCTGTTAAGTTTTGTAAATTTTTAAAAATATATTTTAACATGGATGGAGCC